TGATTGCGACAGATTTGACCGGATCATCTGATGTCTCATATTTTGATGCCAATTTGAACACGATAACGAGGTCAGTGCAAGTCTTCCTGCCTTTTTCGAGTCATCGGACAAAGAATTCGTAACACTGAATGAGTCGCCTCTGATGGGTTGGCGTGCTTTTTTGTAACCCCCGAGTAGGATGGGTAGAGGCATACCCAGGCATATGTATTTATGCTTTGTACGGAGGGAAACCAAAGTTACCGACCGTACTACAAGAGTGTATATAGTTTCCAATCAATCATTTTTAAGAAAACCGCCGTGCAGCCATGTGGAAATGCCATGACGGGTTCAGTTTTTTCATCACCAATGTGAACGGTTACCACTTCAGCATCTGACATTGTGCAAGATATTTTCAACCGCTGTTGGTCTGTAACATAATGAGATCTGCAAGCTAGGTGAATAGGTTATTTACTGTTCGAAAATGTCTTGTCAGTACACCAAGTACCGCGATAAACGTTTATCAAGACCTATTTTGCTGTGAATTACTGATGCTGTTGATTGGTTTCTGGTGGACTAACGGTTGTGGTTAAACTACTAGCCGAGTGGATTCACGTGGGAAACCAAGTATCTATTGCAGATGACCAAAACTTCTTACGTCTCCGACATCCTAAGCGTGACAGATCCAAAATAACTAAAGAGCTTTCGATTACAAAGAATGACACAGTCATTAGAAAAAACGTATGAGATAATAGTTGGAAGAGTGTATGATCCGGTAAAATATTGGTGAAAACAATAGTTGGTCAGGTCATACGTTTGCTTATTTCGGTTTGTTTATTTCGAAAATAACCCGCAATCCGGGAAATTCAGAATCATTTTTGAGCATCCAAACCATTAAACTAAACGTCAGAAAAATGAAAATAAGTTTTCTAAAGTGGATAAAGTAACGGGCGAAACAGAGATATCGACCACTACATAAGTATCAGTGAGGGCGCCAGGAACATGTGCAGTTCGAAAGCGACAAATGTCAAAATATCTCCACTCCTAGTACCCTGTTGAAGCCGCCATTATCGCATGTGTTGATAAAACTGCTTATGCTCTCCACGCCATCTCAAACTTTGGGCCTTGTGGCACTCAGGATTAAAGAAAAAAATCAGCGCTTTTACTTTTAGAAGGCAAACCTCCGTGGTTCGACAGACGCGTGTGACACGGTCAATTATGTGCTCAGTAACTCATAGGGACAAGATATGCACCATCCTCGTACAGTTTGGCCTATTTTCTCCAAGTCTGTACATCAAGAACGGTGAAGCTGTTGAAGATGACGTTCTACTGGACTAGACGAGGTCATTCGTAATTGGACTAAGCATTGTTACGAATTATCGTCGGAGCACATTGACCGAAAAAAAGAGGTCGTTTGCTCAACAACTTGGTTCAAGTCTGGTTGTATGACAGACAAAGTGTCGATCTTCAAGACGAGAGGTCGATCTTGTTAACGCATCTACAGCTAATGTAACTACCTCGAGTAACCCGTTGCGATCTTCAACCTTTAACACAACCAGCGAAGCCCATTTAATGCTTCCACCCTGTAATAACTGACTGAGCAAATATCGGAGCTATCAGAGGGCTTTAGTAGGTGGGTGAAGTGAAAAACCAGTAAGATGGGAACTCAGTGCAGATATACTTTATACCGCATGCTCGAGGAATTGAGTAAAAGTGGATGGCATCTGATAGTTGAATACCTTATGCAGCTGCATCAATGAAGTCGGCCAATCCAATACGATGTGCAGGTCAAACCTCCGGGAAGCAATCCAGCTAACCATAGGATCCGGACTACGATGAACAACCGAGGACGAGCGGAAGACTGGAAAGTTTGCTTTCAGCTCTGCTATTTGACCCAGGTTGCCTTGAGTAAATACTTCTCTGACCTTGTGAGCTAGTCACTGATATACACCAATGATAGGAAATGGCGCATTCGTATCAAGCCTCTGAGAAGGACAACGGCATTCTGGGCAAATGTACAGGTTGAATTTCAACCTTGCTTGCACATGACGCCATCAATAGATCTGAACGTGTGTTTTTTGGAGCCTCTGGATCGTAGAAAACTGCTGTAAGCTGGTTCCTAATAGAGTAACAGAGTGACAATATTTAGATCAACTTGATTCTGCTCCCCTAAAGCTACCGGGACACAAATACGCCATAAGTAAATATATGAAACGGGCCAGTGGGTCTTCAAATGTCTGCCCAGGTGTTGAATTTACATTGCGGGAAAACTATTTCGGTTAAATCCTAGTACATCCTTATCCACAATTAGGGTTAGTTCACTTGTAATGTTTTCTTGTTTGCTGATTGTATACTTCTAGCGGTCAGTTTGCAAGCAAAACTAATTCATAGGTGACGTTTGAGGAAAATACATTCATTTTAGTTCGATGGGTTGTGATCCGTTTGATGACTTCATTGCAAACGGGCATCTTGAAAGAGCTCGGGTGAACTCTGAGTAGAACACATGCTTGAGTATGCACAAGTTTTCCCAGCCAAAAAGTATTTTTATCTTGTATTACTACGGTGTGTTTCTTTACATTGTGCGAACCATGGTAACTGAGCATATTGTGTTGCGCTACCGCAAACATCAAAAGAGACAGCCAAAAACACACTGAAATCCATTCAGACTAATCTTTCCTCCATCCTCAGTCCCAAAATGTTCTGCATAGTACTTGGCGACATGTACTGCAAAAGACATCACCCAAAATTCCCAGCTGTTTTGGGTAAGTCGAATTTAAAATTTTAGTTAAATCACAACATAAGTCAGATATTATGGCATAACTAGACGTCCTTTATACTGTAAATGATATTGTGAACTGGCTGCCCACTGGATGGCTTAACGTCGTGTCACTTATTCACTGATAATGATAGAGATAACCAGGGAGACAAACTTCCTGTTTGGTAATCGTTTACTTAGTAGTATCGTAGATATCATGACAAATACGTTCCTTATAATTCAATGAAAGATGTTGAGCTTTCAGTTGTTCATTATGTAGACAAACTTGGTTTCATTGAAAAAGGCATAATGGTTGAGGAATATGAAGCCAAGGGCCTCACTGTTAGATTAAGATTGTGTTATACTACTTAAACTAATGACATTTTGTAATGTTCAAGCTGACAGCGTGAACGAAAGTGTAGAGAAAGTTTGCGACGAATTGTATTCACTCCCCAGGGATAAATACCGATTCTATTAATTCCCTATATACAGAAAAGAAGCGCAAAACAACGGGGCAAGTAAGGGTTACATCGTATTTATTTCACAATATATAAATGTGAATGTAACTGTCTTAAAACATCTGATATGATTAATTGCATTTGGCTATCCGATTTTAATTTTTTTGAAGACAGCTTTTACACTTTGATTCCAGGTCGTTTCTGTCTCTGAAACTTTGCGCATAAATAGATGAGCATAAGATCAGTTTAGAAACACGACTGCAGAATATTAAAGATCGGTTTACATGCTTCACAAGAGACACCATGCATTCGAAAATCACAGAATATCGACGTAAACTCGCATGATGAATAATTCTGTTGCGCTGCATGGATCCAGTATGTTCATGTGTAGTGTTTGGCCGTGAGAATGCACGGTACTGCCTATTTCACGTGATTAACAAAATATGGCATACCTGACTGGCTGCCTGTTTTATGTGTTCTTCAGCAAAGCTAGTAGTCTATCATAGACCTGATGATCGATGACATCTCACCTTGTGATAATACTCAACTTTGGATTCACTCAACTTCGACCTGTTGGAGCTCAGGTGGGTGGCTATGGTGGTTCTCGACCCTAAATGATGAAACGCAAGGGTGCCAACATCTCCGTATCCAAACGAAAACCCGTAGTTCGTCACATGCCTGATTCACTCGGTCAGTCTGAAGGTACCAATTATAACCGACAAAGTGGTCACAGTATCCCAAAGACAATGAAGGTACGAAATTGTTGTTTTGGTATGGCGATTGGAAATGCACACACTTGGTTCTTGATTCTGCCTGAGAAAAAAGCATGTGTTGACTATTCCACAACCGTTCTTGATTCTGCCTGAGAAAAAAAGCATGTGTTGACTATTCCACAACCTGTGGATCATCACTGGTGACTGGTTGTTAACCAGATAAGAATCTTGGAGACAATAAAGTGTGAATTCAGAGCTTCAGATGCTGAGATGAGCCCACTTTAATTACGGAAACATATTGTAATAAATGTTCCTCTTTTTGGTTACGTTGACAGCTTTCAACAGCAAAACAACTTTTGAGCAGTATCCATGATGTCCCTTTGACTGATATTAATGATCAATATTCGATCCTTGGCAGTACGATAATTTGTGTTTTTTTAATGGCTTAGAACAGCTGACAAAACTGAGCATATATTGAGCTGGGAGTGTGACAACTCTCTGAAATGTTCTTGGCATTCACTAAAAAACCACGGTTAACCACCAGCGCATTTAGGCTCCATCGCAAATATTAAGACAGCGTTTTACTAATAAGCTATAGAACTGTTTTTTTTTGCTTGCAAATCCTAGATGGTATGCTCACTGGACAGTATCAGAAATGATAAGTGCAGACAACAAGCGGAGCTTTTTCTTCATTTCAATTTTCGGGAAAAGCTCATTCAACCAGGAAGTGATCGAACCAAAATTATCAAAATTCCCTGGCTCGTTTTAGTAGCAGGACATTTTCTTCACCAGTTCAACTGTAAAGGTCGAGAAACCAGAACTTGTTCTTCTTTTGCGCAATAGGTAAAGCTGGATTCCGACAGGTAGAATGCTCAAATGATACCAAACACGGAAACAGAAAGCCCAGGTGACAGAAGACGAAATCTTGCTAGAACCTATATCTTGTTTTTGAACAATATCCAAGATTCATAACAAGCAATGCCTATCCTGAAGCCGATGTTGTACGCGGTGATGATTACGGAAAAGTATACAGCGACATACCAGAATAATGCTTTCATGTTACTTGATATCTTGGATGTAGTGTTTGTCTTTTTGTAGTCGGTATGCTTTATATGCGATCGACCAGTGGATGAACCGGAGCCGTTGACGGGTCCTTGTGGCACGTACCATGGGGGGTGCTTCCGATGCAATGGGTGTCGGAGAATTTTAAGGTAATTTATTTGAGAATAATTGCAATAGATGAAATGGCTGAATTTTAGCACTCGTATTTTTTTTCATCCTAAATGTGGTACTGATACGTACATCCAAATTAAGAGTCCACCTAAAATTTGGAGAGCTTAGCATATTTTTTTAAAAAAAAACAGAGTCCTTTATCTGCACAAATGGGCCTTAAAAGTCCATGACAGCCATAATGATGTTTTCATTTGAAGAATACTGGATTCATTTGGCAATGTTTCTCTAAGTGTTTTTCAAGGGTTTGTGTTGTCAAAGCAGTCACGAGTGAACCTACATATGGCGTCATACATTGGGGTATTGTTGAGATATTGCTAGAAACAATACAAAGAAATTTCCATGAGATAAGAGCTATAGTATAATGTATCGAATTGGTGTGTGTAGGCGATGCATATGAAAACAGACCCTGAGTAATCGTCAATGGTAATTCTAATGAAATAGCTGTACTCCTTATTTACAAGTGACATTTTATCTAGTTTGGATTTTAAGTTATAAAACTCAAATGTCCTAGCTCTCCAGCAGACCTGAGTTTTCCTCAGTTATACATCGGTTCCAACCACTCAATCGAGAAATTATCCAAGTGTCGTTTTACCACAAATAAATGTGTGAGCAATGTTAGGGAACCAAATGCAAAGCACAAAAACACCAGTTGAAATTGCTCTCATTATTTAATTTGTACGGTTATACAGTCCACAACAAACTATCTTTGAGCAAACTAAAAAAAAGTAAGATGCTGAATGCGGAGCTTTAGGAGAAAAAAATCAGTCAAGTGGATCTTATTCGCATCAGATCAGCTGATATGGTCATGTGAACCGACCATCGGCTTACTCGAATGAGCTGAGATACTTCACCAAAGAGATGAATTAACTGATGGTAGGAACAAAATTTCAGTGCATGATATTTCGGAAAACATGAGCTCTACGCAGCAAAAAATGGTAGGGTGAGGGGAATGTGTAACCGAGTGATAAGTGGTAGCAAATCACAGTGGAAATCGAGAAATCACTTGAGGTATCAAAAACTTCTGGGGCAATGAGTTCACGAGTCCTCACCACAGAACACCGGGTTTCCCGACTGATACAGTATTGATTATGGTCATGTAGCAATCCCATCCATTAGTTCAGTAAATTCTTATGCTAATGTACTTTGAGCATTGCCTTATTATTAAATTTCCGGCCTTATAATAGTTGAAAACATCACCGGTAGATAAAAAGCTTCCATTACTGATCACTTTGAGTAAGATGAGTCATTGCTCAGAGCAACTCGCCTAACTAATTCTTTATCCGCTGTTATCACTTTTAAAGCTACGATCGATACAAAGTAATCCAAGCGAAATTGTACTGCGAGCCAAATTGCGAAGCCTATATGAATGGACACAGTGAGTCAATATACGCGATTTGTCTGTCAGATACCATTGCAACCGAAAGGCATTTTTCTCTTACCAGACCAGTAAATCTGTGGATCTCGTTTATGGGCTTGACAACGGATGCCTCTAAAGATCGAAATAGAAAAATAAGTGTCACGAATTTGTGGTTTACGTATATTTTAATACACTTGTAGTAATGCAGTGTATGAATTGCGTGTTATCCCTCATGGTTCACAATTTTTTCTTGTTCGATACAGTGTATTCGGGCCTGAACAGGCGTTTTACCTAAGCTTAACAAGAGGCTTGGCAAGCATGCTTATTGTATAATTTGTTTCATAAGTTTGTATGCATTTAGGTGAAAAAACGCAATAAGCCTGGAAGCTGTTTACAATAACATTTATATATCAGGAGTTTTGTAATTTTGTAGTATATGGAAACGTTGCGTGCGTTTATGTTTCGAGGCATATTAAAAAGCGAATTCTCTCAGGTTTATTCCGTTCACTGTCTAGCTGTGTAACTGTTTGCCCGAGGGATAGCATCGAATTCGAGAGTATTTTGTTCCTTTTCTACGCGGCCTAACTGATAAGAACTCATCCTTTCTCGTTCTAACAACAGATGATGTTGCACAAAAAATCGATGCTTTCAAGAAAGAACGTTATTCCAAGGAGAAGGTAGGAATTTTACACAGCCTCACGATAACCACGATAACTCGATAGCCAAAAATAACCTGGTCGAATGCCATCAACATGTTGACAATTTGTTGCACACTTAGAAAAGTTGATCGAATTGCCGTTTTATTCTTCTTTGGATATATATATTACAGTAATTCCTGCCGGTGGGAATGCCATAGAAACCAGGAGTTTCTGACCTTAATCTGGTTCGTTATTTTTATCACGAAAGAGTTGTACCCCCAACGTCAATTATTTCCTTGACTGTCATCCACACTCACGTTTTTGTTACTGGTAGTCTCGAAGTATTTCCTGCTAAATAAGTACATTATTACCTTATTTAAGTAACGAAGAAACCGGGTACAGTTCATGTTCTGGATTTCCTCACATATTTATTATAATACGGCAGATGCTCCACTTATTTCAGCGTGATCGTTTTGTATCTTGTCTTGAGCCTACTTTATTTGCTTCTCAATTCTGGATAGATATGATCCTATAGCTTGAGCTGAGTGTAACTGCCAAGATTGTATATCACATTTTGACGCACTAGCGTTACCATAAATTTTATGTGAAATGCCTTCCGTTTGGAATGTTGAAATTTGGAAAAGCAAACACGAAATGTTTGCATTTCAGTGTCTGGTGCTCTGGCAGGGAGCTTTTTGTAAAAACTTGCCAAACGATATTCAGGTTTCAAATAATTAAACCATGCTAAAGAAAAGCACACTGTGTGGCTTTAGAAGTAAAAGAATGCCAAAACCAATCTTTGGAGCATTCCTCGTCCTTTAGGTAGAAATACCCTACACAACACATATGACCATCCTAGTTGACGGAGAAATAACACTAAGCAACTGGGGGCACTTGAGATCTTAACTTGGAATTTGCCAGCCCTGGAAGACCCGTTGTTCACTGATGAAAATGAGGAGGAATATAATAAAGAGGGTGACATGTAAAATGCGAAATGGACTACCCATTAGTGTAGGCTATATCTACTTAGTACTTCATTAAAACAATGTGCTGAAAGCTTCAAGGACCATTTGCCATTTTCTAGCTTAATCCCAAAATCTCAAGGATTTCTGGAGAACTGGTGACGTCGTACCGGGTTGTCTTAATCTGTAATTAAATAACATTCCTGGTGGTGAGTTAACTTATCTAGAGCTGACGTAGCGGATCTAAATTGGAATACATTTGCTTTTGCATCAGATGCCTGCTCACCGGTCAAAGCTCATTCAGAAATGCCCCAAATGTCTCCTGGAAATCGGATCTAATGAATATGTTACCGCGTTGGACAGAAACTACCACAGGGAATGTCTGAGTTGCCGTCATTGCAATCGTGTGCTTCTGTAAGTGCAGTAAGCTGAAATATTATTTCTACATAGTTTACTCTTTTTAAATATGAGAACATTCATACAAGTAATACCCATAAAATTTAAAAGTAGGTTGAGTTTGCAATTTGTAACTGAACAGCTTGTAAGGGCATATCATCCCTGAGCGGATGGAAATATGTGCGTCATATTCCAAGGTTACCTTTCTGCTGGACAAATCGGTAGCATATTTTGGTGCATGCTTTGGCTGCTGATGAGCTGATCGTGACAAACTCCCCTCCGCCCTCTGATTTTTTAGTTTGAATTCCTGCGTTCCAGCCAAAGAGATGCATTGCTGAAGGGTCATCTATTCTCCTTTGGTATCAAATAGTGAGAATAAATGCGTTAGGAATGAGTACTCGCTGCCATTTCTAGTGAGTATTCAATACAGATAAAATTACCAAGAATCGTGTGCTAAACGGTTGTTGTCCTTACTGGGGCTCTGAATTTGTTAAAGACGGCATATTTAAACACGTTGTTATTCATAGAATCGGGAGAAATGTTCACAAAATGCAAGAAGCTAAATTTTTCTATAGAGGAGAACGTCGGCAGCTTACGTAGCGTAGATGGTCGTTGGCTTGTTTGCTGAGCTGGGTTGCAAACCTTTCATCACCAATCGAGGTGACATCGCGGTCAAAGGTCATCCCCGGCTACCATCACGTATATCAACACACACGTAACACTACTGAACGCACAACTACTAACCCACCGCTACGCACAACTACGCACTGATGATATCACCTCGATTGGTGATGAAACGTTTGCAACCAAATTTGCCCAGCAACCGACCAAGACAACGACCAGCTAGATTTTTGATTTACTAAACCGGCGGAAGAACGTTCGGAATATTTCCATGGTTTTTTGAGATCATATGATAAATACAGTTTATAAGTAGCATGTAAAAATTAAACCAAAACAATTATGGTCAGATGCCACAATAGTAACCACACGTAGAACGCAGAGGCTTAAATTTGCAACCCAACGAGAAATCCAAGCTTTCGGTGTCCACACCTCACGTTTGTCGACGAAACCACCGGAAAAACAATACAAGAAGAAAGTAAACGGGTACACGTTGGGACATATATCCATTTCATTCCGAGTTGGTGAGCAATGATAATGTTGTTGACGAAACCAGTAACTTAAAAAAATGATTCACCTGTGGTCACATCTGAATTGCATTCAATTCACACAATGGTTGAGATTCGGCATTTTATGAGATTTTGTTGTTTTGAAAAGTAAAGGAGCGAGCAGTTTTTCTGTTTTTAAGAACGTCAATTAGCACTAGGAGTTGTTGCTTTCGGTGATTCTTTTGAGCAGCTACATGCGACTTCAAACCTTTGCTAGGTTTATTGTTGACGCAAATGACTTCATGTTTATTTTTTACAACAATTACCTTTATAATCTGTTATCCACTGTCAACTTCTGGCATGTATATATGCAGTAATCCGTTATTAAGTGGCCATCTGTGTCGATTTTTAATAGCGACTGCATCCAGAATGTTTGGCACACATATGTTACCTGATTACTTCCTGCTTTTCCGTAAAGGCCATTTTCTATTGTGGCGGAACTCTGAAAATTGAGCTGATGTTGTCGCCCGCTAGAATAATCAAACGATTTGCATCGGTTGAAGAACGCATTTAATTAAACAGTCACAAATACTCTGCAGAAAGTTGATTTTCTTAACAAAATGACCAATGGCCTTTTGCTTTTCTGTCAGTAAATCCAAGCTTTCAAGAAATGACTTAATTGCAAAATAAACCTGCTGATTTTTTAATAAATAGTGTCTTTGCCGTTTCAGTGAATCTCAGTACAAAGCCATCGAAGACTTTCCTTGTTGCATTCCTGATTGCCGTATGGAACGGGAGGCGACATGTAAGACAATAATGTCTTCTAATTTATGCTTCCACTTCGTAACTTTGAGGGTAGAGATTTAGACAGCGATGTCAGTATGAATCCGACAAATCCAGAATCTACATGCAGTTTGAATGCCAAAAGCATGTCTACCTATCACGAACGTATTACGAACAAAGTGAATGTCAGAATTTTACAGATATAGAGCTTTCGGGGTCTAGAGCCCGAACACGAAAATTAGCTAATAATCTTGATGTTCTCATCTAAGCCCACCAGAACAGCAACAAAACACCGTTTGTGCCCAAGTTTGTTTTCGTATGACATTTGCTAGGGCCATGTGACTGCCCAGGACAATTCGGGCGACGAAAAATCTATGTATTCTTCTACTTCAAATTTCCTCATAACATCATTTGCACTAAATATAGGGCTTAATACACCGAGGTCTCAAACCACAAAGATTTTCATACCTAAAGTTAAGTCGTATTCTAAGTGCACATTTGCGACTGTCTATGAGGACATCGTATTGAACCTGACCGCATTTGTTAGGATATTGAACTTTGCTGCTTTGTTTATCTCGCGGGAAACGGAAATCGTTATTTTGGAAAAATATCTGCTTGTTCTAACGATGTCGATAAAATTTAGGACAATTCAAATGACACCGTAACGGTTCGGCTGTGAAACCAAGCAAGCCATACTTACGAAGTCCACAGACGTCAACGTAGTATGCAGGGCGCTGTTTTTATGCTTAAAAAAGACACTTTTGTGATACTTTTGGTGTCAGACTGCAAAGTATCCCGCTGATGGCTGGTACTATGGCGTGAGACGTGCTAGACAAAATGGGACAACCAGCACATGTGAAACCCGTAGTGAGTAGGAATCATACTAAAACTAATAAGATGTTTGAGTGACATATTGTCATGTCGTGTTCTTAATTACCGCTGTTACATTTCCAAACCTGAACGAGAAATCGGTAACCAATAAGACAGGATAGTGATGTTATTACAGAAATCAGTGCAAAAGAATGCGATGTGGTTTTTTCCGAAATTTGCTGAATTACATAATGCATAAACATTATTTGGCACCCCAGTTTCTTTTAAGCTGATAAACTGACGGATAACATGATATTACTATTAACCGATTGATAAATACCTCCAATATTTATCTGTTTGCCCATTCTAGGGGTTTTAATAAGACCATGGCAAACACAACACAGCTGACATTGCTTCTGTGTGAAACGTAGTAATATTTGTTTTTTTTTTAATTTTTGCTTGTAAGAGAACATGGAGTTAGAGATTTGGGTCCAGAAAAATTTCATTAACTGTGGCTGTCTTACGGTCGAAGGGTCTGGTTTTATATCCGCTCTCCACAAATTATGAGGAAGGTTGGTAACAAATCTTTTCAGTCTTGGACAGAAAGGTTACACCCTGTACCGGAGAACGCCGCAGTCATGTCTGAGACGTATCCGTATAGATATTTTACAAGTTGCACGTTTTGTTTCTTTACTCAGTTTTTCTTAACTTGTGCCACGTAAAACGTGATGTCGGAATTTAAGAACATGCATGAATATGAGTGTGACACGCTCTCTTATTCCCAATATCTTTAGAAAATTGGACAAAATATGGCGGGATCGAGTAAACATTGGAAAGGAAAACCACACATTCTATTCTCCAGCGTTTACATCACATGAAACCAGCCATTCGGCAGTGAAAAAATAATGCATATGTATCGTAGATTTTAAAGCCAAACTGAAGAAACCCCGTGCCTTTTACGTTGGTTTCCTCTATAGGCGAGCCTAAGTACGCACAGTTTGTAGCTAATTATTGAAGAAATCCCATGGGTTGTAGGGACCGGGCGATTGTCACAGGACAGATATCATTGTACGGTTTAAGTCGGAGGGTTATCGATGAAAATGTCTCCTCTGCACATATATTAAAACAGCTATTACTTGCGACAGCATGATGCTACACTGTACGGAATGTACGATCAGAACATATTTCTGACGTTATTAATTCTCTGAATCTTCTTGCCTGCAGAAAAGCATATTACCAAAACTTTCCCAAGTGGACGATTCTGTTTTTTTGTAGAACAACATTTGCAAAACTGCAGAAAATGCACCGACTACATCTTTATGAAAACAGTGCAAAAACTCTTTAAACATATTCATCTTNCTCATATCAACAGGCAAACATTGTTTCGAAAAAAAACAACTCAACCAACCACTCTCTCCAGGGCATTTTTAAAGACACTCAAAATACTTTTCGAATTTTTTTTGTAGCGTGTATGTCTTGTATGTATGGGTTGAAGACGTACTTTGCAACCTATTCAACAGGGTCCCCGAAAGTGCCATCTGAACCTGCTTCACCTCGTTATCTATCACTTAGACGGACACCGGTACGTCACCCAAAATTTCCATGACTGAACGCTATTTTAAAAGTAAAATTGCTTGTCTCCCGTTTTCATACGGAATTTCATGCACATGAGTTTTGGAACATTTTGTGCTAGACTGTACGTACACTGGTATTATATATGCATCCCTTAGCCTTATCGTGCAATTAATAAACGACATGCACCATATTTGAGCCTTATGATATCATACCTGTTTGTGCGATTATGATCTTCCCTCGGATCTATACCGGAACCAAAAGCTCTGCCTAAATCTTCAATATGTCTAAAAAAACAGTCAGTATTTTTCGGCCGTAAGCTGGCTTCGCTGTTTTGTCGATTCTGCTAGAAGAACCTAACTTGTGTGCTAAACTTCCATTGTACTGTCGAACATCCTCAATAAAATGGGTTCTCGATTGCGGAATTTTTGAAAAGTCTAGAACCACTTGTACATATGTATGGTTACACAACAAACCGCGTAGTGTAACTAGTTAAGATGCCCCTAGAGAAGGCAATGTTTTGCAACCACATGGCCAGAGACTAAACACGCCCAGGGTCTAATAAACAATCGTCATACATCTATTAAAAAGCACTGTTCAGCTCCAATGGATAATTTTTCAGTGTGCATGCAGATTTCCATAATGATGAATGTTGCGAGCGCATCTTTGGTTCAGCGATAAAAGGGTTGGTGTCTGGATATAATGAAAATGGATGTTTTTACCTGTCAAGATCAGCAGTGGGATTTTAGGTGATGCACAGCTTCAGATCATATGAATATGAATGACCCCGCAGTATTGTCCCTACGATTAAGTCCAGTGATCTTACTACGGGAAAGCAACCTGTTAAGTGAACTAGAAAACTACTAAACCACTCATTGCATATAGAACGCCGTGGAACACAAAATTGTATCTCCGATATAAAACTAAATAAAAGGGCAGATTATATGCCTCGCGGATGTCAGTACATTAGTGCATAAATATTTTGCTTCATTGGTTTAATTTTCAACATTAGAGCCCTCGTCCAAGGTCCATTTCGGTCAGCTTGAGCAAGCCTGGACACACAGCGGAGAATCCCAAGATTTGCGTTGCCAACCCTGAAAGGGTTGCGCGCTTGCAACGTAAACTAGAGGTAAGGAAATTTCAATCTGATATAATATGTATATCATCGCCACAAGCTGACTGGTTTTCAGAATTCGCATTTGCTTCTTTTAGGAAATTCAAACAATGGCGCTTGAAAAAATGAATTGCTACGTATGCGGGAAGAAGGTCTATCCAGCGGAGCGTTTGAGCATTCTAAAACGGATTTATCATGTGAGCTGCTTTCGATGTAAGGCGTGCAATAAACCCCTCGGGTAAGCATGGTCGATTTCTCAATCCTTCTGAAATTTCTGCCACAAAACTAGCGTTTTACAGCCTATACTTCCGTACGATCAGGTTTAGTTTTGCCACTGTACCTTTTATTGGTCATACTGGATATAAGTAACTATTTGTACACGAAGCACTATTCACGGGGCGAAACCCCACATTGGAAACTTTCTGCTACTGAGCTGTGCTTGGCCAGGACGCAAAATACTTCAGGGCAATAGTTTGCTGTGCAGCTTCCTGGAGATACGCTTGGCGCAGAGCTCTCTAGTTAAATTGGTCACGAAATCCCTTCCTCTATAGTGGTCCTCAGTCATTCGAGGTAGAGCTTCTGATGCGCGGGACAATCTATATTTCTTTGAAGAGCTTGCAATCTCTCGGCACTAAAATATGGGAACATCCGATGTGCATGTTGAATACTTCTGAACCATGCTTGTTAAGGTTATTTATTTTTTCAGGCACCTAGCAATTTTGCCCATTTATTCTGCATAACTGCTAAACACCCGCTGCTGTATTTGATGACTCCTCATTTTTACCGTCCAGTCAATAATGTCTTATTGACCTTATTTTCAATGCTAAAGAGAACGCCGTAGAAACATCGACTGATATGCCATGCTTTGATAATGCGTGTTTGGTATCGTTTCGACAAAATATCCAGGCCCAATGTGCGGTTAACTCGCGTGAAGTTTACTCATTTACAGTGATCACTTTCATATGGTGAACACCAAACTATGCTAACGCGTCCGCACAGCACATTTGAACGTCCAATAAAGCTGGAGAAGTGGCGGTAAATTAACATCGATAAGACTTTATTTGTGCAAACAACTGTTGGGTTGTAACAGCCTCTGTAACTTGCCCCCCCCTGCAGAGTGATACAGCCAAATTGGTTGAACCGTAGGCACTAGTTTGGGGGCATTCAGTTTGAAGTGGCCAGTTAAGGTAACAGGTGTTATTGTTTATCATATTTACCTGATAGAGCCATTACTGAATTAAGCTATTAGCAACGAGTACAGTAGATTGGTACCTGTTATAAGTGATGGGCCAATCACAAAAAGTTCAGTCGAGCAGCAAAATTAGCAAACACGTCTAGACGTCCATGCTTTGCTACTACATGCTCTGAACCGCACACACAGATACATTGTGCTCCATACCATATCTAACAAGTGTGTTTCAAAGACGGCAGGTGTAAATGCAGAATAAAGCAACAAAACACACACTGAGGTTTGTCCAGTGGGGAATTGAAAAGCGAAGCATTTAAGCCTCGGTACACACCACAACCTGTGATTCGTGATATTTGAAGTTAAAACGTAACACAAGGCATCTATAGAAATGGGTATTTGAGGGAAAGCACTCCGATGGGGCTTGAATCCTTTTAGAAGAATGAGTACTATATTTGGTGGCATTCAAACTGAGAAGTGCTTACATTTGTTTCTTGGCAGTCAGATTCAGTAACAATGATTACATTCGTCCCCATGCGGTTAATTTAGAATCCTTTACTATGTACGATTGTCAGTGTTAAATGCTCGAAGATATGGACTGGACGTTTACCTGGAAGCATTGCACAGCTGGGTCACTCACTACTTTGTATTCCCATAATTGTACACACTGGCAAAAGCATCGAAAGAAAATTGTATATTTTGTAGACAGTTGGACAAGGAAGCATGTAGACCATCTGGGTCTCTGTCAAACTTAGCATCTGAAGATCCTCGTTTCCTCTAGTACGCATCGTAAAGTCAGCCTGACGAGAAGTTTGCAGTGACATAGATTGGAGTTCTTGTTTCAGACGTAAGGATTCAGGCATAAAATGTGACAGAATGCAGGTTCAAAAAGCCTCACTTGATACGGTTGTAGCAAAAACCTGGTTTAAGAAGTTTGGGGAGACATTAAAAACGTTTTCTCCAGGACTGACGCCACCAACAAACTTGTGTGCCATTTTTTAAGGGGGATGTTAAATTTTATCGCTAATTAGTCTAGTTTGGTCTATGATTTACACAGGATGACAAAGAGGTTGGACACGATCTAACGTTGTCACCTTGATTTGGTGGAAGGGCTTTGGTGCTGCAATGGCTGACTGAAACGTCCTTTCACAGGGTTGACCAGGAAGGCCAGAAAGGGTCAGTCAGATCAAGGACTATGAAATCAGTTTGGTCGTCCGCTCAGGCGACAAGCCTATCCGCCTAAGAAGTGGGACAGCAATGTCTTACTTCATGCGCCCTTGGGCTGGGCCTACACTCTGCAGCGAAGCAAGTCAGGCTACTGAAATATAGGGCTGGGAATGATCCTGAAATAAAACCCTACTGTCCGATGCCTCGTTTTGTTCAGTTGTGAAGCTCAGTACACCTCGACATAAAAAACGCGGTCTGTTTGTAATGTTCACTTCTGTCCCAGCGGAATGCTGTTTTCATCCCGAAAAATATACGTGCTACCAAGAGATATCCGGCCGATTCGTCGAGAAAGAAGCACGGCCGTTGCGGTCCTTGCTGGCGATGTAAATGCCCTCCTTGGAATCACATCTATTTGGTCTATGCGGAGTTGCGCAGAAAACTGAGAACGACTCATCATGTTGGGTGGCAATCCTTAACTGCTTCTGGCCAGTACAAACGTTTACCATAAACTTTCCATGGCGTAACCTGGCGGCCAAAAATGCGAGTCACTCGTGGATCCAGTTGTATAACTTGGCCGTCAGCCACCGGTGGAGACGATATTTGAAAATGCCGTTCACGTTGGAGTACACGACTTGGTTCTGAGTACACCATAGTGCGTGCACGCTTGGCTATTCGCTTCATTATAGGCCCCCGAAAGCCAGCACGAAATTTGCTAATCCATCACCTTCGAAGTAGTAGGGTAGTACAATAGAGTCGATTTGAGCTAGCCGAACAACTCTCTACAGCGAACCGACGCTGTACTGGTGACGAGAACTTGGATGAGGTTTGGCGGAATGTGAGAATAAATGTGCTAGCGGAGTTCAGTCCTGTCCGTCTGACCTCTCCAATGAAACCAAATGATCGCTGGAAATCGTCGAGACCGCAAGTCGTGAATGATGCCAGGAAATCCCTAGCGGGAGGCAATGAATACGACGACGCACGCAAATCTCTTAAAGGCTAAATAGTGAACAACCTTAGGGATGACAGAGCTATGGTGGATATCGGAAGCTCGGGAAATAGAGGAGGCTTTTGTTACCGGAAACAGTTATGCTATATATCAACTGATACGATTGACTGGCCTTAGGGAAGCAGCGGTCAGCCAAACGGTAAGTGAAAACGGCGGCTCATTAATTCACTTGCAAAAATGTCGCCTGGAATGATGAGCCGAGCGCTTCAAAAAACGGTTCAGCTTGTCCGTCACAACATAGTCTCCTAGATATGAATGTAAAATAATCTAAATAATTCTGCCCCATATTTCGGTATGCGCTTTACTCCTGCAAAGCGTAAAGTTCTTCTGCAAGACTTGATGTAATCAAACCATGAACTCCTACTTTCAGAAGGGCCGATTGATGTAGCAGTTAAACCGATCTACGTGGGTAGCTGTATCAGTTCCTTTGATTTCTCGAAGGATGATATTTTCGTGCAATTTGGGAAGGCCAGGTCAGGATTCGTCAAACTGCATCGCCTGTAGTGTAGGTGTGACATGAGCTTATCCTTCATGGGTCGACCTTACAATGCTTCAGTGTGCTCAATATTGTTACAATATTGTTACACGGGTCGAAAACTCAGCCGCTGCTAGCCGGTGATTTCTAAACACTTTTAATGTTTGGCCGCCGATATCCTCGGAGAATTCTCCGGGTCCGTTGATAGCAACTAGTTAGTAGTACTGAAGTACGCCGAGTTCATTTTGGAAGAAATAACTTACCCACAGTGGATGAATTGGTCACTGCATAGATTATGCTGGTTGGCCGCTTGGTCCGTATGCAAAACTACGGACGTCCTTGAAAGGCTCTTTTCGCCTAACCATATGAAGTGAAGAGACGAGGCAATGGAGGTCAAGTAATGACTTTGGAGCGGAATATGAAGGTCATTCCAAGCAGACTCAGCAGCGTTGGTTCTTGCTGTCTCCCTGCTCAGGATCCAGAGGCCGATCGCATCACTGGTTAGCGACGTTGTCAGACATGACACAGTCGCCCCCCAATTACGCATGAGTCGAGGATATCACCCTCAATATACAGCCTCCTCCCGATTTTCCCAAATAAAAGTGCACTGACAAGCCCGTATTCGGGCAACAATATATCATCTATGTGCTCCAGTGCGCAGCTATCTGCATCGCCTCCCCAAATCACCAATGAAAGAAACTGTGGCAGCCATAACTATTATACTTGGTTTTTATAGCTGTTGATGCGATGAAGGGGCCGTTTTTCTTGACTGAAAATTATGCTACGTGAACACACCGATACCCAACATTTGTGCTGGTGTGAATTGAATTCCTAAATGCGACAGTTTGAGCCTCGGGGTTTTAAATAAATACGTTTTACTGTTTTTCTCAAGTGTGTTTTGTTCTTTCTCTGCCGTCAGGGGAGGCCGGTATCAAATATTTAAAGAGGATCCCTACTGCTTGCCACATTACAAACAATTAAGTGAACTTCAAAGTGAGTAACCCACTTAACATTTTGTTGGATTTAACCATTTTACAAGTGCGCAACAATACAGGGATTTTAAACTTTTTACACATTTGAAGAAATCTCGCTTCCTTTATTTTGTGATATTAACCGCACACGGCACATCATTTCTAGTTCGAAAAGTCTGATCTCATAAAACCATGGGATTAACCGATCACACCAGATGCCACTAACAAGGTACGGAGGTCAGCTATCTCTAAGTTTTTAAACCATCCGTACTGGTAATCGAACCATGGGAATTTACGACACTTAAAGTAACGTAAAAGCCATCAATCGTCCTTCCATTAAAGTGGCAACTTCTTTTATGTTCTTAGTCTTATAAGGTATATTTCACTTATTTTTACGTGGCTTAGTGTGTGCTCTGAAGCACTATTCTCTCCTAGGGACAGAATGAGGCTGTGACTGTAATATGGACATCTAATGGGTTATTCCTCCTTCTCTGAGAAGTCTTGCACTTGAAACAATGTGCACAATTTGTGCGACATATCATTCCACTTAAACACACTTACTTGTTTCCTGATTTTTGGCCTAGTACTTTCAAGGGTTAACAACAAGATTAAATTTAGAGTGACTTGTCGGACTTCGGCGAGCCTCCTAGTGGCTATTCTCTCAAACTACCAGAGTAATAGACTTCAAACTGGTAGACCCAGCAAAGTGGCGGGGCATTATTTCCGTATCCGTTGTTTGCTGTGTTCACCTGAGGATTCAAACCTTAACTGCCACCCATCCGAAATGTCTCTCCACCCTTGAATGTGGGGTTCTTGCTGGTAATTTCAGCGGGTACGGAACAAACTCACTGTTCTAAAAGACTTCGGGAAAAAAACAAGCGTTCTGTGATGTCCAAGAGCCGAGTGTCTCTAGCCAGGAGAAATTGATGCCTCACTGTTTTGATACAAAGGAAGATGAAAATTAGCGATCTGTGTAATCACCTTAGCTGAGCTATTTAGTTGAAATATTTCGTGTTCTTGTTTACAAAGTCCAAGTTTTACTTGCGGAAATGTCACTCAAATCTGTTGTCGTTACCGCATTTGATGGTGAGTCTGTGTGGGGCTGATAGGAATAGCGCTAGAGATGAACTCTTGGTGAACAGTGCATTATTATCTGCTGTCAAACTAGGCGCGATTCGGGGGAAAGGTGGGGCGAAGAAAAATTTCTAGATGAAATTTCTAGATGAAATTTCTAGATGAAAAAAATTCTAGACGGAAAATTTCCGGAAAAGATACTATTTTGCTCCCCTATAAAACAGCCAGCAACCGAACAGTAAAACACGTAGTCTGTTGAACCCCCTGAATGGAAATGCGGGGCGAAGAAAATTTCTAGATGAAATTTCTAGATGAAAAAAATTCTAGACGGAAAATTTCCGGAAAAGATACTATTTTGCTCCCCTATAAAACAGCCAGCAACCGAACAGTAAAACACGTAGTCTGTTGAACCCCCTGAATGGAAATGCCGCGGAAGTTAGACTATTTGAAGGAAGACTTTGGTGAAAGATTTCTCTATGAGTGAACCTTTTGCCACTAGCTGCAGCTCAAAATGAGTGGTGGTACAATTTCCTTATTTCGATTTTCCATATCGGCAGGTTCAAATGCTGTCAACCTCAGCATACAAAATACTACGGAGGACCGCGCCATTCCAGTGATGCCGTTTATTCCGATCAAAGAAACTGTGAGTATCTAGTTTGTTTTCAGAATCAATAATCTGAAATTCTGACATTATAATTTTAGTAGACTTAACTGTTAGTTAACATTGACCATGCAGCTACACCAACTGCTGCGTTTACATGATTTATACACTGGTGTCACTCTACTCTCAGTCGTGCGATATTAGGTTTTCTGGAAATAGCTAAATCCTCAGTTGGATCTGGGTTGTGCGTAATGTAATTGGAGATTCTAGCAAACGGGCAAACTAACCGGATTAATGTGACCACAATCCATATGCGGGATACCAGATAACATGGCTGAAAGACATCCGTTCCAAGTTTTTTATGGTACCTAGTAAAGAAATCTGGTGTGCAGTGTCTGTCCCACAGCTCCTTTTAGAAGATATTTAACAAAATCACCTAGAGAATACATTGGCTAGAACCTACATTTAACCACACTTCTTTCACTGAAACACTGGATATTGCGGTCATTGTGTTGTTGTTCATTGGTTTGTACATTGCTCCATCTTCATCACCTTCAATCTGTATTAAACTTGCAACCCGTCCAAACGAACTGTGTGATGCACGCATCGTACATTGGCTTAACAGCTAAACCAGGCCACGTTCCATATTGACCAATAATATGGCCGGATAGTGCAGCAGTATTGCTCTGACTAAACGTCGTTGTATTCTTTCTATGAGACCCTCACAAATCCCAATTACTTGAGGTGTTCGCAGAAGTCGAAAACTTTCATCAAGAAAATAACCCTGCTAGTTTATCGAGTGGTGAACCCCTTGATAGGACCCAGGAATCAAGAGACCAAAACAAACTGACTGTTGGACTGACCCTGGAGGTTTGACGGTAAGTACATAAATAACGCCAACAGAACGATGAAGATCAAAGGTGACAAGGCGCGCTTACAAACGCATGACACGAAATTGTCTTCGACTGAATAGCCGCAAGTGAAGACTCACCTCAACTGGAATAATGATTCGTTTCACCGTAAAAGCAGGTGATGAGACTGAGAAATGAGTACACAATTCCGTTAGCCCCAGACACAAGAAAAGGCCAAAAAAATGTCAATAATTGCAGAAAAAGCCTATAAAATCTATGTTATCATGCGTGCTCAAAGGATTGTTTCGTGGAATTTCGGGTGTTGCTAGGAATATTGGAACATAAACTACGAACCAGCTCTTAGAAACGTATTTAATTTGAAATGCCTTCCTGCAAAATTACTTGTGCGCGGATGGAATTTTTTCCGGAATGATCGTAATCAACTTCGCCATACTGGTACGGTGGCTAATACATAATAATACGGAATCCCGCAACGACCAAAACCTAAAACAAAATATGTCCAGCAGGTTTCAAGCGTCTGTGGCACAATCTGACTGAGAAGTCCTGACTAACGGGCCATTCGATCGGCAAAACCAAGGTATGTAACAGGATCGTGGTTCAAGACGTCTGGCATTCCACCCACATTACTCAAGCGCGAACTTGTTCAAGTAACGATTCGGATGAGTCCACCATGTCGTGGTGCGGCAGTGCTAAAACGCCCGCCTTGCACGCCATGTGCGGACTACAGTCCCAATCACGATCATTGGACATGCGCTACCGACGAACCCTAATAATAACGCAAAGCTAGGACAGCACTTTTTCTCCTTTTGGTGTGGACTCACTAAGATGATCGCGCGAGGAGAGGAGCACGATTGTTCAAACTAAAGTCATGTGGGTGTGCATTCTAAAAAATTCTGTAACCACTAACAACCGATGCATAATGAAATGGTTTTAACATCACTATGCGAAACAGTGGTCGACTTCGGTCAGGGTAATTTGCTGACTAATATTTTTAAAAAATATCTTCCAAAAAACTTCACTGGAAAAGGGCAAAATTACACATAGCGACCCTTAGGGCTGTATAACAGATGTGCTAGAGCACTACGCAAGCCGAAAAATTCAATTTTTGTTGAATATCTGGTGGTGTATATGGTTAAATTTTCCCCTGGAGTAATTTCATCTTTTCCCAAACTCAAAAGATTCGCATCCGGTAGGAAAAAATAAAGGGACTTGCAGAAAAGATAATGCTTACGACAGTGTAGCGACACCGTACGTAATGATAAATAATCAAAAGGGGATACTTACGCACGCGATTTCATAAAGTACTGAGTTCTTGGAGAATTTCCCAAGTTGGGCGAGATTTCGATCAACCAGTAATCAGGAAATTAGCATTCACAGGGAGGTTAACGACTCTCCAGATTCAATTTTATGATATGTGATCTTAACGGCCAAGTCTAAAACCGCACGTATCAGCAGTGGTCTTCGAAAATCGAGCAACCTAGAGCCAGAGCCGTACAGCCATGATGACTGTACTGAATGTTCTGCTTAATGATAGGGAAATCAGGTGTCAAAAACATCCAGCCACACAACAAACGTATCAAGTATACATTAAGACAGCAAGGTGGGACCGTGTCATTCGCAAAACGAGCGTAAGTAGACATGACAAATTCGACACAAAGGAAGAACATTCTTGACGTCTTTTTATTTTATTTCCTTTGCCAAACATTCCCTCTAATTTATGCCTAAATGGATACACAAGCCATCTGAAACGAGGCTACTCAGTAAACAGTGTTTATTACTGCTGATAATCGCCTGTTTATACTGTATTTGTCGCCAATAATTTCCTGAAGCCACATGATATTTTCCTCAAATTTCGGTGGTCAGACATTCAGGCCAGCTACTGTAGGTTCAAGCAGCGTAGAGTGTTTCTCTGAATCACCGCGTACATCCTTTGGATCCAGGACAGTATTTCATTACCTCGAGTTTTAAGCTGGAATAGCGGAACACTGAGGCGATTGAGATCTCAAAGATGGCTCGTGTAACCTATACTTTGAAATGTGTCAGAAATATGTCCCAGAGAGAGATCTGGTATTGCTATCACCAAAATAACATCAATGAATTTTTTAACTGTTAAATGTTGGTGACCGTCTTAACCTTTCATTGCGTTGATCTGTTTTGATTGCATTTGGACTGAAGGTCTCAACAAAATCAAATGAGCACCACGTGGACATGACTCCGTCACTTTGTGTACAGCCACCAATTCAACATGAAACTCCGGTGCTTCAAGACGAAACTGGAGTAAGTTTTGTCCGTGTGTTTTTCAGCACGCAAACAAGTAACGCACGGAGTACTGCAGCGTGTCACCAAAAGCATTGATGCCTCATTTTTAAGGCTACCATATGAACGGTTGACCAAATTTTTCGCTCCCAAATTGTAAGCCACATAGGACTTCATTCGCATTTCATCGCACTGCATGGACCAAACTATGTGTGCACACTACTGGCCAAGCTCAATGGGAAAAAAATCGACTTGCTTGTTCCGTATGTTCTACCCTGTCCGCTCACGGACCATTTATTTGTACACAGGGGATTCTCCCAAATTCTGATTAGGGGTGATTACTGCAAAGTGCGCTTTCGTTGGAAAAGAGATAGAATTTGATGCGTCGTTACACTCGATGTAACTCCCATTTTTATCACTACAACTTGGGAATCGTCAAGTATGTCGATTTATTTCTACCGACGAGAGGCACTAACCGTAACGAAATGAAGTATTTTCAGCATACATTGACAATTTGTGATCCACAGTTTCCAAACAAGCGGGAATTATTATACTTGAAGCAAAGGAAGTGAGTGCGAAACTGTTAGAGCGACAAACTTTTTAGCTAATGGTGCCAGTTGTTAGAATCCTGCATACTTTGCATTTGGCATTGCATGTTCTGGTCTTCATTGTTCCGCTTTCGAAAATACTGAGGTGCTTGGAGGGGGTAACCACATATTATACCAAATGCATTTGAAAATGACATGCTTCAAAAGACGGCCGAGAAAATTCCACATGCTTATATGTACACAACACTCACGCAGATAACTCTGTATCAATATTGTCGAGCGCTGAAAGTAATCACAGTAGTTGTAGGTCATTATTAGACCTAAAATATCAAGCACTGCCAGTGCTTACTCTTCCAAGATTTCTCTTTAACTGAATTGCAGATATTTCAGCCGCATCATAGGGAAGACCCGCTCTGCTATGCATGCGAGAATAAGGTGTATCCGGCAGAACAATTGAATATACTAAACCGCACCTACCACAGAACTTGCTTCAGATGCCATACCTGTCAAAACCAATTAGAGTAAGTTTGCTATTTCCGACTTCAAGAGTCTCAAATCAGGGAAAATTGCTTCATTGCCTAAGGTTGGTTAGATCTGATAACAAAATATTTAACTTTGAAATATAAGGCGTGTTTTTAGAGTTGTATACAGTTCACTTTCTAGCCAGTCACTCTACACGCATGTGTTGCAAAACTGCGAGAAATTGCGATATGACTCTTTCGTGATGCTTTTGGCCTTTATTGTTTATTTCAGTATTGGGCGTTTTGGCGTTATCGAAGGAGTACCCTATTGCAACGCTCATTACAGGCAGGCTTATATGGTGCAGTGTAAGAGAGTTTGAATTCATTTTTTATGGTTCTAATGGGTACACTCATTCCACATGACACTTGGAAAAGTGATTTTTGAATCCTTTTTCCAGCTGGCAAGCCTCCAAAGGGATCTCTGCCGAATTCGGCGAAATCCAAACCGCCTAAAGCGCAGCGAGTATCCAGTCATCCAGTGAGTTCACGAACCAGTTGTTCGGTTTTTCTGCTTCAGTCACAGAGATTAGTTATTAAAGCAGACCAAGTGTGTAGCTGAAAACTGTTTGCCGTTATACCTAATTGAACTACACTTGGAAGAACAAGATAGTTGGACGACTTGCGCAAGCGCGTATTCTTTTAAGAACTGTAGGCAACTCATTCTCTATCGGAAGTTCACAATGTAAAAGCTCTGATTAAATCTGCGATTTAATAGTCCAAGGATTCATCACAAAAATAGGAAACATACTTTTCGTACAACAGAAGTATCTGCTGGATATTTTTATGAGTAAGCCATAACCTCACAATCCTCTTTACTTCCTCGTTCAGCGGTAATGCGATGTGTCTCAAGTACTCAGGTCACAATACTATGATACACGAAAAACTGTCGGAGTCATATATATATACGTATATAAAATTTGTATGACTCCCTGTGATCTAAAGCAAAAATTATTGCTTCTGCATAATTAGCGTGATCCGTTTGTGCCGAACTAGATAAGCTGGGCGTATGCTCTCGAATATGAACCACCATCACATTATACCTACAAGAACTGCACGTCTCCGTGAGATTCTTTTGTTGGTCGTTATCTGAATGTAGCAAAGTGAACGTTTGCAAATGAGTCGATGCTGTGTTTCGCTGTCCATAACTGCGACCAAATTCAAACATTAAAACCCACTGTTCTACACATCTCAAGGTAGCTCAGAATGACGCTAATTTAAGTTTCTAGTTTCACCGGGACAACACGAAGACTCCCACGCGATCGTTTTCGGAACCACGTTCTTTCAGAAATGACCCGTACAACATAGCTCAAAATATACACAAGGCTAGCCATAATTCACCTCCAATACTTGCGCAATAAAGGAGCTCTTGTATTTCTCTTAGTGAGATTTCATATGGTTCAATAAACGCGCCATAGTGTACTGTGTAACGAGTAACATCGTGCAGTTGAGACAATCACTATGATTGACTTTTTCATGAAGACCATCAAAACCGATTGAATCAGGTCGCGTGTGATTGCTAGGAATTCATAGTTTTTGAAATGCAGGTAAAACCTTAGGATTGACGCTACATATTCTCAGGATATCAGATAGACACTGTGACACCACATGTTGGCACCGAACTCCACCACAATTTAGTGTGCAGTACAAAGAATAATATTCCAAATAAGTACAGGCTAGGATGTTCTGTGACTCCACCAGAATTTTGATCTAAAAGTTACGGTTTTTTTATCATTCTGGAAGGCGCAATTTTGTAGCTAACCGCCTCTACTGGGGATTCAAAAGTAATAACGACTGATAATTTCACCAGGAGCATTAGTGACTGTCTGGCAGAAGTGCGAAATCATAAACTGGTATGTAATGAAACGCAAACAATAAAACACATAACAAAATACAGCATAGACGCAAACCTTTCAAGCTAGTTGAGCTATTAGGAAACGAGGCCTCAGTTTACTTGCCGAAACCACACTAACCAGCAACGCCCAATAAGATGTTAGAAGCTGATTCATTAGCCGGTCACCACTGAACTAAAACCAACAAAACTATCTTATGTCTCTGGTCTGACAGTGAAGTACGCGGTAGAACCAAATATTATTTCTGAATAAAGAGTAGTCACAAAATTTGGATAATATTGATGAGGCATGCGAATAGTCTGTGTTCTTCTCGAAGCTGCGTCTGCGTCTAATGGATAGTGAATTTTATCACGAAACTTGACTCTTTTTGGTTACTAGGGCGAAACCATAATATTGAAAGCTACTGGTTACTTCATACCACTCTGCCATTTTAAATAAAATGCGCATCAAAACCCGAGTTAGGTCACAAAAATCAGCTTTTTGTTTAGAATATTCAAGTACCAAAACGGGGAGGGAAACTGGCCACAGGTTGTTTGGCGTGCAATAACTAGTGCTGATTTTTTGCGCATCAAGTGTACTTCTAAGCATAAGACTTTCACGTTTTACGCGGTTTTGAGTTCTCACCATACGATGTATATTATTTTCTCAGGTGAACGAGCAAAATGGAACCCAGGAATCAAGCAAGTGTTATCGCTGTGCAACCAAAGTCCACTCAGCTGAGCAACTGTGTATTATGAAGCGAATTTACCATAAAAGTTGCTTTAAATGTGGTGTGTGCCAGCGAGTTCTAAAGTAAGTCGGTGGGCTCGTTGAAACGCATAATTTCCTATCTCATTTTAATTGAATAAAAATATTTCTTTCTCACAGTTCTGGTCGTTATGGAGTGCATGATGGTGTCCCGTACTGCACTGCACACTACAAGCAAGTTGTAAACATGCGCAGTAAGTTATTATCTTAGGATTTGTTTTCGATTGACCAAGGGTCCTTGTGCGCTTGAATTGATTCGAATAGAATACGTCAATACGTTTATTCGATGTGACTTGATATTACGGTGGCCGCGACACGACAGAACATTCCTGTTAACGACCAAGGTGAAGTACTTGTCTTTGAATTGCATCAGTGGATCTGTACCCACAATGTTTCACGTCACATATTGGTGATATAACATGCAGCGTCTGGTTACTATTCCATGTGAAAGCATCAAAATGTGATTTATAACCTGTTCAGTACATTGGCAGGAATTTGAAAAGATACGTAGAACCTTTTTGTGAGCTCGCAAAAGAAGTCAGTTGCCCAGCGGTCAAAATAAGTTTATTCGTTTTGGAAATTTTTAGCTACTTAATAAACTTGGGTTACACAAAACGATACTGAAGGGTATGATGTTGTAGAATGCTTAATCATTAGTTGAATTGGGAGCTCTAATCGGCCAGTCCGTTTTAAAGTCAGCTTCCGCCGGGTTTACATCATCGGTGCGCAGCGAACCGAATAGCTAAATCGGTACGTCAGCGTTACGCGTGCTTGTTGGAAAGCGTTGGTGGTAAAAGCTCCCGCCTCCATCCAAAGCGCTTCTAACAAACTCGTAAAAGTCCGGTGTTTCGCCTGCGCAATCAGTTGGTTTGAGTTTCAAAATCTCTGCCTTTCGTCCATAACGTACATCTGTATAAAAATGTTAATTTGTTGTCATATTTAATTTACTTGTATTTTATCATATCTTGTTTTAATGTATCTGTTTTCACCTATGGATTTAAATTCTAGACTGGTCGAGATGCTATGCTTCGAGCAGCTCTAAATATGGCCTAACCAGCGTTGAGTGGACCGTGTTGATTAGTGGTTAGCAGTGGCTACTTCTGTGGGGTCATTTGGCTGCTTCCCCGCTCAACTGACCTTAAGCCAACAGATTGACCTGATAGACGAACTTGAATGCTGTAGTGATGGTGTGGGCTACACGGGAAAAAGCCAACTAATAATTCGGCACTCCTTAGCTAAATTCGGACTCATTTTCCATGTGATTTGTACATGTCCGGCTGAAACCGAGCCTGAGCATCCCAAACCATGTATTGAGAACTTGGGTGATGTGGTTGCTCCCGCCGCAAAACCTGATATCCTGATGACTTCTAGAGATGATTATCTAGAATTCTCTTCATGGTCGGTTGAGTTTGTTTTGGAAAGAAATAAGTCCATAAAATTTTTATCTCATACGTTGAGGTGCATCATATCAGGATACTTATTTTTTCTAATTGATTCCCGTCTATGAACTTAGTAAAGTAAGAGACAAGCGCATAAGTGGGATAACTCCAGGTAACCAATCACCAGACTATTAGATCCTGTGGCACTATAACCCCCAAAACAGGGAGGGAAAACTAATCTGGTATACGTGCGAGAGTTTAAAATTATGTTCCGTAAGAACTAACACAGACGGTTCATTCAGTAAACTTTATTATCTGAACAATCAATCGGAATCGACCTATTCCCGTCACCTTTCCTCGAGGAAGGAGTCACGCACTCACAAATAAATTACTGCATACCCTTTCGCAAAGCAACTGACAGTTAATTCACGAAAAAGCTTGCTCTTGAGATGGAATTTTATGGCTACTCTGCAGGTCACTCCGTCTATTTGGCATACATATTTTCTCATTGTTCTGTTTTGCATACACAGCGGGAAGCTTCTCCAGTATAAGCACAGCAGATGCGGCCTTTCTCAAGTCTTCAAAGGCAGGAAACCAAAACAGCGTGAGTTGTCAGTTATATTTGTATACGTTCCAGTATTACAAAAATGTTTCAGAAAAATATCGGGTCAGTTACAACGTAAAAAGACGAAGTTGAACCGAAGTGATTATTGACAATCTAATAAAACTATTAAGTGTAGGTTCGATTGGTTTAATTGAAAGGAGGAATCCTGAGAACCGTCATTACTTCAGCTTTGTGAATTAAGATGCGTGCTTCGGCAGAACAGGGGTGAAAGTGTGATCTGAAAATATCTATCTGGGAACTCTATGAATCATAGGATGATTTTGATCTACAAGGAACAACGTTCATTAGAAACATCTAACAAAACCAAAAACCTATCCCTACCGAAACTCATCTGTTCAGCCGAATGTTCCAAGCACCATTCGTTGGGATATCATCACGTTTTCACTAGGACATGCGGTCAAGATTTTCAAGCTAATGGCTTCATGCTTACTTGGTCCTTGATCAGAATCGATGGTAACGTGAATAGATCTTGGTGATCAATCGTCTATACGAAAATGAATATCTCAATAAGTTATCAGGTGGTTGAAAGAAAGTGATCCACATAAAATAGAAACACCCCTAGATAAAAGTTCGCTATTTAGCTGGTAAGTTCGCAGATTGAGATCCAGCGTGCAACGCTCAAATTTGACGTTCTGTATCTGTCCTGTAATGAACTAAGTAAGAAAACCGAATTACACATCTTCAAAACATTTAAAGCAGCTTTCAAATCAGGCACTGAACTATAATCAACCACCACATTCGTGTTTCATTCCATGCAATCGAGTCCGGGGCACTAACAAGTTTTTGGATAATGAAGGACTCAAGCAGTTTAGCATTGCTTTCGTTTCCAACCCCAGTATTTTGGAGCATACGGATGCACTAGCCCCCGCCAAAGATTTGAGTTCTTCTGGTAGTCAAAAGATGGTGTAAAAGGTTTTGCCAAAGGATCCTTCTCATTTTCACTTTTAATTCTGTGAGATTAACGCCAAATCGAATGAACTCCACAAGACGCGTTCCTAGCTTAATTGACTAGGAGAGCTGCATGTGTCGTAAATGAGATAAGTGGTGCTCAAAATGAAAAAACTCTCGGGTGAAGCCTAATATCCAAATCCAATTTGTACTATCTGATTATCCATGGATACCCGGCCGTCTCACTCTAGTTCGTATCGAGGCTATACGATATATTGCACCCAAGCATTACACTTTATTCTAACTCTGGAAGAAGCCTCAGGTTACTGAATGACTCCACGCATGTTTTAGTTGACCTGCAATCATGGAGTCCTCTTGCAACTATGCTGATATGTTTGCTGCTCCTCTGCGACTCTTGATTGATTAGCCTGTGTTCGACAACCATGGGGATAAGAATTTCAAGTCGCTGCACATTCGCACTCGTGGCCGTTTTTGCTGGATCGCAGAATGAAACCTAACAACCCGAAGTACCCACTGACCACAGTTAGCCAAAACACGTTAAATAGATGGCACTGGATAACCGCAGTCTGACGCTGTTTCTTTGGCTCACAAAATTAATCGACATGCCCCATAATGCCACCTGAAGTTGTTCTACTCACTAGCTTGTTAGCTTTGGTAGCAGAAGATACAGGAAGCTTTATAAGTTTGAACTTCTATTTGATTGCAAACTAGACGGGAATGCAGCCTCTTGTGATGTATAATTGGAAATTTTTATTAAAAAAAACGCGTTAAAATAGGACGCTATAACATAACATTTCCCCGCGTCGTTTTGACCTTAAGAATTTCCATTTATACATATATATCTATAATGTTATCTTTAGTCCTGGCTTTACGCAGGAGGATCTTGGTAATGCTAGCCTGGCAGCATTAGCACGAAACACTCAGCTTGCCTGGTGAATGGCAGAGAGATTGCCTGGTAAAGCCCAAAAATAAGTTGGTTTCGATCGTCAGTCGACATGCTAAGGACACTTGGAAAACCTTATAATGTGAAAACCGGTGCTTGATTTTCAAAATACCCATGTGTTTTACAGGCATACGTGCCCATTCAATTGCATATTCCTGTGTTATATTCATGCCCAGAAAACTCCCTTAAACGCTAAAAATGAAGTTTCTTTTCCAAGCTGCGGGAAGAAAACAGGCGTCATTTGTAGTATTTGACCTCTATTGCGAACAGACGCACTGGTATTGAGTAGCGGAAATTTTGAGTAACCTCCAGAGTTCCATCTCGAATTCCAACAACCAGTTGATTTGGAGTGATATTTCATAAGGCTCAAGTAGGCCAAATACACCTTTCTCAGAAAAGAAATGGGATACATTGTGTAATGGCATGGAAAAATTGGAGGTCGATTTGGGAAACGGACTTCGCTTTATTCACACATCTTTTAAAATATTTATGCGAAAAACGCATTCCGTACCATCCCAAGTTATATAAAGCTTCCACTGACTTGGCGATAGTGCCTTGGTTTTACAAATTTGGTTATTAAATTAGGAACAGCAAAAACGGCCCGTTTTCAACACTGTGTTCTGAAAAGTGGCAGAAGCACTAGTTTCCACAGTATTCAAACACAACGGGTAGCTTAGGCACTTTGAAAAGTCTAACGTGATTTACACCATATCAAGACGAGGTAGACTTGTGGAGTTAGTGGCATACGATCCTACTTTTGTTGGGGCAACTGGTGCAGGCGTGGTTAACCAACAAAGTTATTACATTTCACATCCACTTGTGAGTTGTTTTTTGGACTACCGATTTTTTGATGAAAGTGAAGAATTGTCACAGTATTAATGGTCAAACAACAACAGACGCCAGCATAACGTGACTTTTACTTTTATGTTATTTAACGTGCCGCCATCCGACTCTCCGGAATTTCACCTCGTTTGTATATATATACACATATATATATTCCTTACTTTAATGTAAATCAATGAACCAATCATTACTCCTGACATATTGGATGGACTAATTTGCTTTGTTGTAAACTTATGTGCGATACAGCATACATTCACTTTACTGGATACCAGGGGCTCATTGTAAGCGATCAACGAATATGAAAGTAAGGAAGAAGAATGAATTTAGAAAACTGTGGCGATTAAAATCTGTTACCGTTGCTCTGTATAGGAGAAAACTTCGAATTTCAGCTTATTTTGATATTCTTAGCTATGTACTAACTAATCAAGTTTGTCAGTAAGGAAAAGTATTTTTCTGACTCGAAATCAAATATGCGCGTCACATTCTAGGAACTT